GGGGGGGGGAAAGAATCAGTAACCAACATGAGAAATTTTAGCCTGGTAACCAAACCTACTTTTGCTACCAAGTCTCTTTCGTCCTCTCCACAAGTATGCTATTTGCAGACAGGATAAAAGAGACCTTGCAGCTAAAATAAGTTTTGTTACCAGGCTTCAGAAATGTCACAACAAAGCAACCATACTGTGTTCAGTAGAATATTCAACAGACAAGGTACTACGTATGAGTAAGTCAAATGAGTCAAACTTAAATTACAACTTACTGTGCCAGTAGCTAACAGGCATTCTGTTCTTTTCTCAATGCTGTGTGTTTTGTGTGTGCTGTATGCATTATGTTATGTTCTTTTTTGAAGCTGTTGTACCTGGTATGAGACCAAAACCTTATATGTGCTTTAGAGGAAAGGTCATGGTTGTGCAGTACATCCATGTAGTGTAGTATAGTGTAGTGTAGTGTAGTGTAGTGTAGTGTAGTGTAGTGTAGTGTAGTGTAGTGTAGTGTAGTGTAGTGTAGTGTAGTGTAGTGTCATGTAGTGCTGTGTAATATTTCCTTACCTGGTATGTGAATGAGAAGACAGGTCCTCCCATGGCTGTGCAGTACACCCCTGTTATGTAGTGTAGTGTAGTGTAGTGTAGTGTTGTGTTGTGTTGTATTGCCTTACCTGGTATGTGAATGAGAAGACAGGTCCTCCCATGGCTGTGCAGTACACCCCTGTTATGTAGTGTAGTGTAGTGTAGTGTAGTGTTGTGTTGTGTTGTGTTGCCTTACCTGGTATGTGAATGAGAAGACAGGTCCTCCCATGGCTGTGCAGTACACCCCTGTGTGGTGTAGTGTAGTGTACTGTGGTGTAGTGTAGTGTAGTGTAGTGTAGTGTAGTTTAGTGTTGTATTGTGTTATGTTGCCTTACCTGGTATGTGAATGAGAAGACAGGTCCTCCCATGGCTGTGCAGTACACCCCTGTACCCCACACACAGCTCCACAGCTGCGATCCAGCCGCTGTAACAGCTGCTTGGCCACGTTTTCTGCAGCCTTGCGGTTGTCGTGAGCACGTTTTAACATCGCTGTGGCTTCTTCTGGGTCTGTGTCACCATCGCCTGGATGGGGAAGTGTAACAGGTCATAAAAACATTTTCATCAACTGACAAATGTAAAGGAAGGAAGGAAGGAAAAGAGGAAGGTAAGGGAGGAAAGAAAGAGGGAAGGGGAGGAAAGGAGTGTAGGAAGGAGTGAAGGAAGCAAAGATGGAAAAAGAAAGAAAGTGGGAAAGACGAAAGGAAGGTAAGGGAGGAAAGAATGAATGAAGGGTGGAAAGAGGGAAAAAGGAAGGAAAGAAAGAGGGAAGGAAGGAAATCATGAGTGAAGGAAGCAAAGAGGGAAAAAGGAAAGAAAGAAGAGAAGGAAGGAATGAAGGGAGGAAACAATGAGTGAAGGAAGCAAAGAGGGAAAAAGGAAGGAAGGAATCAAGGAAGGAAGGACGCAAAGAAGGAAAGACGCTAAGCAGAATGAATGAAGAATCTTACCAAATGCCCCCAGTCCTGCAGCCCTGCATGAAGCCAGCACAGAGCCCAGTTCAGTCTCCTTGAGTGCCAGCTGTACCTCGAGGGCCTCTAGCATCTGGTCACTGTATGACAGGGCCAGCTGCAGGGCTGTGTTGTTGGACTCGTACTTCCCACACAGCATGCTGAACCTGTCCGCGTTGGCCTTACTCTCCTCCAGGGTCAGCTGCAGGAGGTCGTTCTGCGACTTCAGGTGCTCAATACGACTGGAAACAGACAAGGAAACGTGTTAGATCAAAGATTTACTGTCAAACCTACCCAAGATGACTCAAATTTCCAATAAAATCCGTCAATAAGTGAGAGATAGTGTCTCAGGGGGTTATGAGTTTCCAAATTTTTTGGAAAGAATAGCATTCCCCTGTTGTGGTCATGTTTTTGGGACTCAACATGAGATTGTGCCGCGATCTTGCCCTTCTGTACCTGACCCCCTATGCTGTGAAAAAATTCAGATGAGAACCCTGATTATTTTTCTGTGAGTGAGTGAGTGAGTCATGGAATTATTTATGGACTGACCTGTTCAACCTCTCGATTTCCACCTCAAACTCCCTGCCCCTGCTGTCTGCCATGGGAGACCCCGCGGCGTACACAGACTGGAAGATCTCCTGAACACTGGAGCAGTCCTGTAACGACTGGGACAGGTGTTCCGCCACCTTCGCATTCTCTACCTGAAACCAATGGTTACTGATTAGTGAGGTTTTAAAGACTTTATGACTCCCAAAGAAGGCTGTAAAATACATAGAAATATAAAAAGTATACATGCAATATAGAAGTTGGCTTTTCAATCAGTGCATTCCAGAAGTGCATTTTTTAAGATGCTCCAGCAAGCCTCCTAATCACCCGCCTCAGCCATCTCTTCTTGCAATCCTGTGCTTTTTCAGGAATGCAAAAATAGAACGTAGAGATGCAAATATTCTGCCAGGGCTGGCTTGAGCTGACTTTTCCGAGACAGGGCATTGAAATTTCAAATGTAACAGGAGAACCTGTTAGGAGGTAAAATTATGAATATTGAGTGATTTACAGTTTACCTAAAAAGATTTGTAGGATGTATAAATTAGACACTTTTTACCTCGTTTTAACAGTTTACAATAAAGTTTGAATACAAACAGAAGATATCTCAACTCACCCCCATAGAAGTCAGCTCGGTGCCGAGTACATGTCTGTCCAGCACAGCGCGGGAAGACTTGAGTCGGACGCGTTCTGCGACCTTCGGGATGGGGAGTTCTGTAGAGGAGGAGTCACCAGGACTGGGGGAGGGGGAGGGGCGGTGGGAGGGGGAGCTAGTCGACGCCTGGACACTCTGTAACCTCGTCTGTAACTCACGCACCTGGTAGATGATAATGATAATAATTTTAGTTTATTCATCAATAGCATGTCGGCAGAACGTACTGCGCCTGCGCAGAACCCTGGATTTTCGCGTTTTAGTTGGATTTTTGGTCAACGTTGCATCAGAATTTTCACTGTTGCAGAGGATATCTTTTCTGACACAACATTTGGAAACTACTGTCGAAATGCTAACCTTATATGAGCGAATACAACCTTATATGAGACATTCTGCTGAAGTGCTATGCACAATACATTACAGGTTTCGCGCAGGTGCAGTACGTTCTGCCGACGTGCTTTCATCAATATTGTAAGTTCATATAGCTGGCGGATTATAATAAACCTGAAACGGTAATATTTGCTAAGTAAATGCATAATGTTTACCTTTACATATGGTCGTTGTTTGTTTTAAAGGGGTTTGTTTAAAAAAATTCTATTCTATATTCTAATTCTACGCAAAAGGCAGAAGAATCCTTTATGTTCCTTTTAAGCAAAGCCAAACTCTAGTCTCCTCCTAATGCTTAACATCATACCATTCTTAAATATAGTCATTTTTATGACAGAGACAGAAAGTGAAATATCTTGCATTTGCTTGCAAATGTTCCCTTCAAAATTTTCACAAGAGAACAGTAACTACTACAACTATCATACTGAAATTAAGTATGGCATTGCCCATTTTTATGGAAGGGCTGGAGTGAAACAACTTGCATTTGCTTGTAAATGTTCCCTTCAAAATTTCCACAAGAGAACAGTATTTACCCTGCGTCTGAGTCGGTCTCTTTCTTCCCTCACGGAGCCCAGCGATGCTCGGATCTTGTTAAGCTCCTCCTCCTTACTGTGCAGGCTTCCCCGCAGACTGTCGGCTTCTTGCCTCGCGTCCAGCAGCTGGTGTTCCAGGCTGTTGTCTCCCACGGCCCAGGACGAGCGCGCTGACTGGGCCTTACGCGGCGTCCCAAGTTCCAATCTCAGGGTCTCCACTTCTTTTACCGCCTGTAAATTAAAGTAAAATGATCAGCCACAAAGTATACTACATACTGCAGACTACAGTACAGTGTATCAGTGCCACCTAGTGATGAGATGTAGTACTGCTATTCCCAGACGAGCGCGCTTACGGGGCCTTACGCGGAGTGCCCAGCTCTAACCTCAGCGTCTCCACTTCTTTCACCGCCTGTACATTGAAGTATGCATACAACAGTACAGTATATCAACGCCACCTAGTGGTGAGAAGAAGTACTGCTATTCCAATGGACTTTTTCACAGATCCCAGGATGAGCGCGCAGACTGGGCCTCACGCGGAGTACCCAGCTCTAATCTCAGCGTTTCAACTTCTTTTACTGCCTGTGCAATATATAGGGCATCAACCATGTACACTTAAACATTAAGAAATTCTTGACCAAGTACAAAGTATGCATACTAGTACTACAGTAGTGTACAAATGCCACCTAGTGGTGAGAAGTAGTACTGCTATTCAAATAGGGCCTAGGAAAAAATTTTAATGTTTCCTGTTTCCTGAATGACCCTATAAAAAAACTGCTGACCCTAGCCTTTTTTTGTGTGTGGCCCTCGCAAGGGACATAAATTTTTCGAGCTGATCAACCTTTTCTAGCTCCATGAGCTGACACCACATGGATGAAACGTTGTACAATCGGTTTTCCAACATTACCTTGTCCTCATGCAAGTTTTACTGCGTTAAACTGTATTGTAGAGGCAAGGAGCTCCTTGGTATAAGTTAAATCACTTAGAGATTGCCAAAGTCTAAAAAAAAGAGAGAAAAAATAATCCCTACCTACCGACCCTAATTTTTTCAGAGCCGAAACTGGAAACACATCATTTTTCGCCTAGCTAGGCCTTTCCATAGATCATATTGCATGCTGGTAGAAGTGGGGTAGCTAAGGGGGCAAACATCATCCACCCATAGCGCCCTGCATCACACATCACACTTTTGCTATAACCAAAAAGGTTAAATTTTTGTTTATGAAGAAAAATACAGCAGTATACTGACTTCATGTGCATTCTTTTCCATTTGCCAGTTCGCTGACGTAAGTTCCTCCACTTGTCTGTCCACGTCAGCAAAACTTTGCGAACTGTTCTCCCGTAGCCGCCGCCCCTCGATCGTGCTCTCCAACGTGCTCACAACTTTCTGTAACTGGATACTCAAGTCGTCACCCTTTGTGTTGGACTCTTGGAGAGTTCTCGAGAAGTTAAAACGGCCACTGACGCTACTACTGCTGTCTTCTTGGCTCACTTGTGACACATTTTCTTCCTCTTCCTCTTCCCTGAAAGATACAGGAAATCTTTATTTTTATTTCATCAACTCATTTGTTTCACATTTGTTCGCACGATTAAAGGAAAGCCCCTTCTCAAAAAAAATAATTTGATGAATAAATGAGGCAGTGCAAAACATGAAAACAAGGAGGGTGACCAAAATAAACAGAGAAAACAAGAAAAGGCTACTGCATCATTAGCCAGTCTATGAAAATTTACATGTACAACTAATAAAAATTCAGTTGACCAAAAAAAATGTAACAAAAAATGTGATAAAAAAATATGTTGAAAATGTGTGAAAAAAATGCCAAAAAATTATTTTTCCTACCCACCTTATTGTTGCATCTTGCTCTCGGCTCAACTTTTTCCGTAACTCTGCTATGACGCCGTGTAGCTCAGTGATGCGTTCCTCGTACCGTGCGGCCTGCGCGTCTGCCTTGTCCTCGTGTTGTTGGAGAAGTTGGACATGTTCGCACTAAAACACAGGGGGCCGTTTTCATTCATCATCATCATCATGGTCGCCACATGTCAGTTACTACATGTACTGAACAGGGCTGCTATTGTTCAGAACTTGTCCATTGTTCTTGTGATTGTTCTCCCACCCATTCACAATCAAGGACCTTCTTTTACTTTATTCCTATGCAATTTGTTTTATATAGTAGCACAATGTACATATAGTAAAGGACTAAATTGCATTTCAACACACTGAACAAGTCTTTCTGAAGCCTTTAGATTCAAATGACAAATCCTTTAGGATACATGTCAACTGCAAACAAGAAATCAGAGATTCATACTAGTGCCTCTGTGAAAATGTTTTTTTGGCGACGCCTTTGGGGCGGAGGCATTTGTGTAAGTACTACGATCGCTTTGAAAGAATTTCAAAAATTGCACGAATGCGTTCCCCAGGGAATTGGTTTGGAGGAAACCTTCGGCCATGTGGTTTTTGGATCAAGCAGGTAACTTACACGGGGTGCCCACGTGCCACCCATCCAGCTGCCTGGCATGATTAATTAGTGGTCATCAGTCTTCTCCCCACACCATGGACAGAGAGCACAGCTGTCTTTGGCCAAAGACCATATTCAAACAGGTCACAGAGAGAAAAGAAATTATCCGTCCTTTTGGAACCCACAAAAGGTTTAAAAAAAGTCAAAGGAGTAACAACTTCAGACCAGACATAAAATCCAGTCTCTGGTGGAGGATAGAGTGAAGTGGAGGATGGTTTTCAGTTTGGTTCTAGCGGGAACTCGACCAAAGTAAAGTAAGTAAGTATGTCATCATAAAATCTATATTGCTGGGGAAGAATGGCTGAATCCTCCTATACGTGTATTTGGTATATTGCCCCACACCTCCTCCACCCATCCTGTAAATTTCACTACGTGCATGTCTTTATAACATAGGGAAATATGTTTTTCTGATAATTGTAATGTAGATTGCTAGCTCCACCACATGAAATAATATATATCATTCAGTCGTCGCCTTGGCAATGGTTTTTATTGCCTCAGCCTTGTTTCGTGTTTCGCAGCTGTTCGCGACGAGGCGCAACAGTTGTTGTTTGGAAGGTATTTTTAGTACGCGTTCACAGGACGCGTGATCGGCAACTTCCAGGAGGGCCAATGGGTCAGGGGTCAACGTACTCTTGCGCAATCTTTGTTTTGGATGTTTTCGGCGTATATTACGACTTCTTAACTTTACCGCGGTATACTGTCTTAGACGTTCTCGACATGCATTTTACCGTGGGTACATGTTATAGGCTGCAGATGAAAATGTTGACCTGTGTTAACACAACCAGGAACGCTAAATCTAACACATAAAATTAAACACCATCAACTATACATAACAAACAACATATAGAAATATACAATAAAGAGCCCGTAGGTATAAAATCTCAGATCTTACTTGTTTGTTCTGAGGTTTCATGAATTTAGTGTTACATATCATTAGACCAAATTCTTCAGCAACTTCTGACCATTTTTGTTAGTCTTACTGTTATACTATACGTGAAAGTAGCGTTTCCTGTCCAATCTGTCACTTTTCTTACTCTTATAGAACCTATATTACTCTGCAGTTCATAAATTTGTACTGGCCTGGTTCCGGCTGGACAGGCCGGCAATGGATAGATTTATTGCATGATTCTAGTAATCATCAAAACAGGAAAAAACACATCTTTTATGTTGTCTTAGATTTGTCTGTTCAGGAGAGAGTTGAACACTGATCTACTTATGACAGGGCTATCTTCACTGGACGTTGATCAGAATGGTGCACACACACACACATACACACACACACACACAAACACACACACTCTCTCTCTCTCTCTCACACACACACACACAAACACACACGCACATTCTCTCTCTCTCTCTCACACACACACACACACACACACACACACACACACACACACAAACATGTAAACCCATAAACAAAGAAATACAATTGCGCACACAAGGGATCATGAATCAGCAAAGGATATTATTAGTATCAAATTATTTTATAAGCATATAAATGTGTCAAAGATCTCTCAACAAAATATTACATCATGCTAACAGACATTAGTTTCCTTTTATATGGGCCACAAACACAATAATCATTAATCATACTTTATGAAGTCTTTACCTCGATCATCAAAATAATCATTCTACAACTATGTTCTTCTGAAAGTAAAGTTAAAGCTGACA